TTTCATAGTTCATGGAACTATGAAAAAGATGACAAAGATGCAGTTATAAATAAGATATAGACACAGTAGATAAGATAAATGGATCAACCTGTTATACCACAGGATTGATGATTCTATCAGGCCCTTGTATTACGTGATACTTCATATACTCTATTAAGGCCTACCACTTACTATTATCACTTTCTATTTTCCATAGACTGGCAGAAGTTAAAAGATGGAAAAGGTATTCTGTGCAAACAGCTAGCAGGAAAGCACGTGGACTACATTAACAATATTAACATCAGCCAAAGAGACTTGAAGACAAGTTTTGCCAGAAATAGAGAGGTATCTTTTGGCATGATAAAAGTATTATCACCAAGAAGACAAAACAACATTAAACATGTATGCATCTAATAACAGAGCTTCAAACACAATAAAAATTGATAAAACTAAGAAAGAATTAGACAAATCCATAAACATAGGTCTATATTTTAACAATAGTTCCTCACTAATCAACAGAATAAGTGGAGTATCCACTGGTACAGAATTTGAAAATAAGCAACACCATCAAACAATCTGACAGTCATAGAACTCGGTACCCAAAAAACTGCCTCAATTACCTGCTTTTCAAATGCACATGAGGACATTCACCAAAACATATGATATGCTGGTCCATGAAACACATCTCAAACTATTTCAAAGAACTAAAGGAAAATAGAGTAAAGTATATACTCTGAAGATCAAGGAATTTAATTTAAAATCTACAAGTAAAAGATATTTAGAAAACTTTGAGAAATTAGGCAACATACTTCTATGCTATGTATGGATCAAAAAGAAAAAATAATTACATGAGAAATGACAAAACATTCCAAAATGGTGAGTACTGAAAACACAATATATTGAATTACCTGGAATTCAGAAAAGTAGGCCTACCAGGGAAGTATATAGTGTTAGATGATTATATTAGTAAAGAAGACAAATTTAAAACCAATGATATGTCATCTCTCCTCATAATGCAAGATAATAAACAGAAATTGCATGCAACGTGAGAAGAAAGGAAATAGTAGAAATAAAAGTAGAAGCCAAAAGAAAACCATAAAGTATGGGTATACAATCATTGGCAGTTTTTTCTAGTTGTGGAATTTGTGCTTCCTGGTTTCTGTGAAGTTTGGCATTGTCAGACTGCAGTTCTCTCTTCTTAAGGAAAATGCACTAGGGAATATTTTTACTGAACTTGAAACTGTGACTACCACCTGATCATTTAAGCTACTCAAACCAATGAATTAGCCATTAGAAATAAAAGTGACTACGCTGGCCTCCCCAGTGACACAGTGGATTGAGCACAGCGCAGCACTGTGAAGCTGTCCACAGCCTCTCCAGCACCAGTTCGATTTCCCCAGCAGGCCAGGGAGATACCCACATGGCACTGAAAACCTCTCCTGTATTGCCTGCTGCCCTTCTTAGCAGTGTTTTCAGTCCTTCTGCCTGTTCTGCTTCCAGCTCTGTCTCCGGTGGATTCTCTTACCCTCCCATGCCTCTGGCCTATACACCAGTGCTTGTATAAATAATTTTTTTTTTTTAAAAAGTGACTATGCTGGAGGGGTAGTTGTCACTGGTTGCCATGAGGAGGTAAGTTATTGTTTGACAATACAGTAAGTAAGGACATAGCCTGAACCCAGCAATTCTGTGGAGCATCTTTTGGTTGTTTGTGAGCCTAGTGACAAATGCAGAACAGAGAACTACCAGAAACACAGCCCTGACAAGGACAATGCAGACCACTCTGAAAAACTGGGCTGCCCTGCCAGGAAAGAAATGCAGGTCTATCAAAGAGCTGCCTGAGGAGAGGGCAATTGAGATTGGATGCCTGAGGACAGAGATGATGAAAGCCAAATATGGCCTTAAGACCAACAGAGTTTAGAGCTTGTTCCACTATATTTTTAGTATATATTTATGGAATTTTGGGGCCAGTGACCACCATGGAGGAACTTTGGGATAGATGGGACTTAAAAATATAGGAGAGGGCCTCCCTGGTGGCGCAGGCAGTTTAGCGCAGTGCTGTGAAGCTGTCCACAGCCTCTGCAATGCCGTTTCAATCCCCACTGGCCTCAGAGCAACCCACATGGCAAGCAAACCTCTCCTGTCTCACCCACTGCTCCCCTCAGCAGTGTATTTCGTCAGTCTGCCTGTTCTGTTCCTTGCTCTGTCTCTAGTGATTCTTCTCACCCTCCTGCACATCTGGCTTGTACCCCGGTTCTTGTATAAATAAACAAACAAACAAACAAATAAATAAATAAATAAAGGAGAACATGAACCTATTGAAGTGATGGACTGGGTCAACAATTAATAAAAAATCCCATTTGTGTGCTATTTCATATTTCTCAGCCCAAACAGTGCATCAGAGACCAGTTCTAAGAGGGCATTGGTCAATTTTGCACAAACCCTTATTTTCCTCCTGCACTCTTTTTTCTCTTGTCCTGCTCTTCTCCGATGTGATGGCATTCAACCAACCTGGGAACCCACTGGCACTCAAGCATGCATAATTTGGAAGTAAGGGGGGTGCTCCTGAAGCTTGTGGTGCCAGCTATGAACAATGGGGACAGGACCCCATGGACAACACCTCTTTTATTCCCCTGATGAACAGTTCGAAGGCACATTTCTTAAACCTCCTTGAGGAATCTTATGTGATGGACCCTTCATCAAGGTGGTCCACTTAATAAAAATAACATTTTTTAGTTGACTTTTTATGCTATGCTATTTTACTCCACCTGACTTTCATTCATATTCCCTGGGATTAAATCCCAAATGAATTATCTCAAACAAACCCTTGTCTTAGTCTCTGTTTGGGAGACCTAGACTAAGGTACTGATCTTTATAAGTGAGAATTAATTTCCTCTGGCCACCCAGAGTGGCATTCATTCTTAACTTTCTTTAGAAGTCATTCAATGTAACTGGGAGTTAGTGTGCTTGGATAAGGCAATCCCATTTTGGAGAATTTAAACTGGCAGATTTCCCTAGAAAAGACTTCCTTGTTGAATTCATTGTTAATGGCCCCATTTTCCCCCTAGTTTTTTCAGAAATTTGAAATAGCACACCCACTGTCTTTGAAACAAGCGCAGCAAAAATAAAGCTAATCTTTCACATTAACCCCGCTTAGAAAGTGCTTGGTGAATTTCCAGGGTTTAGTAAATAACCAGTGCAGCAAAGTATTCCCCATTCCTTTTCAGTTGGTGACATTAATTTTCTTTGCCATTTTACAGTCATGAAACCTTGTTTTCTTCCCTTTAAATGACAAAAAAAAAAAACCAAAACGTATTTTCTTTGGCACAGCCCCAGTGTACAGCAACAGTTAAACTTTCTGCTATGTGAAAGAGTCATATTTGTTTAGAAGTTACTCAAAAGGCCGTGAGAGCAGGCGACCTGGATTATAGGAAGTAGCCTCAGGAAACTCAGACTATTTTCTGTCTTGTATTTTTGCCAGGATGCTGGTTTTTCCTTGGTCAATAGTAATTTCTAATAAGGTCAAGATTTATCCTAGTTGGAACTTCATAGGATATCACCCACATTGCTTTTTTTTTTTTTTTTTTAATAAGCAACTGCTTACCCTTGTAAGACCAGAGGAGAAGCACTGAGGGGGGAATATTTAGCACTGAGGGACATATTTAGTTAAAGGTTCTGCATGATAAATGGCTCTTGATAATATTTCCAGGTCAATTTTGAGAGAGTAGATTCCCTAACAAAATTATTGACTATGTACAGATACATCCATCATACATGAAGAGAGAACCAGAATATGTTAAAAACAGAAGACTTAAAAGAATACAGCAACCATCTCCAACTACTCAAAAAGAGAAAAGAACTTCAAAATATTCAAAAATAAGGATGCTCAAGAGTGAATTTGTGAGTTGATATCTAGACCTTTTTTATTAAAATATGTTGCTCACAACATTTAATGATGAGTGACAGTGTGTTTTCGAAGCCACGAAAGGTTAGAAATCCAGATTTCTCAAACTAGAACAATTGCAGGATTGATAATCCTGGGTTAGGTGGTGAATGGGGCTTAGAAAACAGGAACCAAACTTGCCTTAATTTTACTATTCTTTGTTATCAAGATTAAGAAATTACCTAAGTATCATAAATAATGTGTAACAACACTTAAAAGGAAACACATTCTGGTGTTTACCTCATTTTTATGAATCTCATGCGTGAGAATTAGGAAAACAACCAGAAAGTCAGAAATATTTACACAACTTTAAAACTGTTCTTTACTTGGAGAATCCTCTTATTGAAGTCTACTTGCCAAATGCACTGACATTCTATTAGTATCAGAACAAGTTCCTGCTTTCCAGACTCTTCCATTAAAAACCATGTTTCTTTATTTACTTCCAGAGCAATAGCTAGATGCTGCCATATCAGTCCCAAAGGTCCTGTTCCTCACATCACCTACAAGATTGCTTATTACACTCTACTCCAGGATACATATAATCATGTAATCAGTTTTAGAGACCCACTACTACATTCCTTTTCATTTCACTGACATGACAGTACAGAAATAAAAACTTAACTAAAGGTAAAATCATTATTTTTAAAAATACTGTTAATTAAGTCAAATAGCTTTTTGATTTAATACCAAATTCAGCTGAACTATTTTTCAATGTATGAATAAAATAGTTGCCTGTTTAGCAGAACTTTTCAGTTTTTTAATTGGAAGTGTAGGTATCACATATAGATGCAAAACCAGAACAGGATAAATTTTATATCACTTTTTGACAATTGTAAAAATTATGAGTTTTATTCATTCTTTTTTCAAGCACTAAATGAATGTCAATATTATGTGTATATTAAAATATGTTTCTTCTGCTTTCAACTTACTTTTTGGGATTATATAGAATATTCCCTTGGTCTTTTATATTGTTAACATTATTCTTTCCCCACCTACCCTTCTATTTTACTGGTTGTTTTTTTTTTTTCTGTTTTACATTTTCAGCATTTGGAAAAACAAAATAGAAAAGCCACAAGCTTACCATTTCCACCAAGGATAAATATAAGAACATTCCAGCAGTAACTGTTAAGATCCAGTTTTGCACACATGGATCAGTTGATACTGAGAGGCCAATGTACAGGCCAATGAAGGCAGTTAGAGCACTTATAAAATTCATCAGAATGGCAATCTTAATAGGGAGTCCAGAACTTAAGAGCACAGCAAAGTCTCCTGATATTTAAGGGAAAAAGAAATTATAATTACTTAACTGATGATGCCTTTGGTAGAGTAATGTGCAATTAAGTTGTTTCAAAATTTAACAACTGAAACGAATTTCATAAATAAGTTGAATGATTGGTTACTAAAACACTTCCCTATATTTCTCTAGGAATCATAAGCAATTTGTTATACTCTTATAGGTAGTTACATCTCAAGAGTTCTATTTCTTTACTACTCTCGTTCCTGATGTTTTATGACATTTTCAATTTAGATAAATGCAAAATAAAACATTTGCTGTCTTAGATTTTCTAAACATTTTTTGCCTGAATTCTTGCCAGATAAAATAATGAGGTAGTAAACATCATAAGGACTTTTCTTATTTATACTAGAAGCATTGTGAGGAAAGCGAAAACAAGATATAAAAATTATTATACTGGTTGATTAGGAAATTAAATTTTTCCTTTGGAAAATGTTTTACTGCCTTAATAAGTTTAGAAAAATGACTTCTTTTTCTCCGTATCTTTCTTCCAAAAGAATGGCTCATTATCTGAGAATCTCTATTTCTTAGTTTGGGGAATCTAGAAGAGGCTGAAATTCAAAAATGAACCTGTAGACTCCATTTCCTAGTTCCACTGGATAATGAACATGTCTTAAAACCTCTTTGCTGGCCTGCCACAGACTGTCATATTCCCTGTGGAATTATTATAGTAGCTTCAAGCAGAATCACAGGGTGACACACTCAGACCAGGTACATTTTAATAGATTTACGAAGAATTTTGGATAAACCAGTCTGAGAGGGATGGGTCAATAATAAATCAGTGCCAGGTTTTTGAATAATAGGCAGTTTATAATAGAGGACAAGGGGTGACCAGGGGCAATAGAGGCCTGAAAATAGGAAAATGAGTGAGAGAGCAAAAAGACCTCTCACCAGGACATGAGTGTGCCGGGGGCCAACCTCTAATCTTTTTGAGCCTGCTTCAGAAGGGTCTATTCTATCTCTTCCTGGTTCCTGGGAGGCAGGATTTGAATTACAGGGCTATTAAGATTATCGAGAAAAAGAGTCTTATGTGCATCTGCTAAAATACGCCTGTCATTTCAATTTTATGCGTGACTTTAAACATTTTGTATAAATCAGTTTGATGAAACCATGGTTTGGCTTGAATTTAAATGTTATTATATCTCATTGGCCTGTGTGCTAACATAAAGGGTAAAGTTCCCCTCTTAATGTCTTTCCCACATTTAATATGCAGATTTTAAAGCCTGTGCCCAAGATCTTTAAAAAGAAGTTTCTATGAATGACTTTTTCCCCTACAGAAGTCTCCAGAACTCAAATAGAGTCTCTTCTGACCTTGGGCAATGAGTCTAATTGAAGTGTATCCTGAGGTAGAGACCTTTTTTTGCTAGCTCTCTTCTTATGGTTAAAGTAAATTGTGAATAGAAAGCATTCCTCTTTCAACCATATGCTGGAATAAGAAACCCAGTGAGCCACATCTGCAAATAGGACTTTCTCAAATAACAGTGATTCTACTGTCAGACTTACCCATTTCATGTGGGATTTCATGACACAAAATAGCAAGAGTTGTGGTCACTCCCGACTCAGACGAAGATGAGAAAGCTGTGCCTATCACTAAGCCATCTGCGAAATTATGTAGGCTGTCTCCAACCAGTACCATTATTGCTAACAAGCTAATGGTTTTGCCTAAAGAACCAAACAGAAATGAGAAAAGCATTAAAAATCAGGGCTCATGAATTCCCTCAAATAGTACCAACTTTCCTATCCACCCTTGACATTCTTAAATTTCTTCAAATTTATAACCCAACTTTGTGTTAGCCTACAAAATAAGTCAGGAACAGAAATTCAAATAAGGTAACCAATATGCAGGGATGTATGGTCCTGTTTTCTAATGGGTCCAACTGCTAGGAGATAAATTATGCACTGGCACTCACTAGTATATCACCTTGTATCACTAGGCCAAAAAAGAAAATAAAAATAATATTGTTATAACCTCCTAAAATACCACTGATGACCTTTCCATGTGTGTCTTTTGTGAAGCATTTAAAAATAATTTAAGAACATCCCTGTGGAGTTAAAATAACTCCACATAAAATAAAATGGAGCCTATTTTCCAAACTCTCTCCTCTGAGTCAGACTGGCCCCAGTGTCATTCTGCAGAAGAGCACATTTGGCTATTTCATGACCACTGAGTTTCCCTTTCTGGTTGGTGCTAATGACCACCCACCCCCACCCCAAAATGCCTCAATGACTGTCTCCTGTGACATGACAGAATTCCTACCAACTCTGTTGGCCCTAAAGTTAGCTTTGGGACAATGACTTAATGTCTTATCTTTCCGAAAATAACTTCCTGTCTCAGACTAACTAGTAAACAAAAAAAAAAAAAAAAAAAGAAAAGCTGTTTTGTGGGATTCAAGTATATAAAGCATATTATCTGATTAGTAGAGAATCAATGAAAATTTAGATCATAATAGGTTTAATTAATGAAATAATTTATACCACAATTGGGTTCAATTTTTCTTTCCTTTTTTTTTTTTTAAAGATTTATTTATTTATTTATACAAGCACTGGGTACAGTCAGAAGCGCGGGAGGGTGAGAGAATTCACCAGAGCCAGAGCGGAAGGCAGAGCAGGCAGAAGGACCGAAGGACACTGCTGAGGGGAGCAGCGGGCGGCAGGAGAGGTCTGCGCGCCATGTGGGACCCTCCTCCGGTGGCCGGGGAGCAGCCGGGGATTGAACCGGCGCTGCAGAGGCTGCGGGCAGCTTCGCAACCCAGCGCTCAACCGCTGCGCCACCGGGGAGGCCCGGGTTCAATTTTTCAATAAAAATAATTTTTGTTTTCAAAAACCTAAAATTGTAAATTTGTATAATCCAATTATGAAACTGAAAGACTAATGACTAATGAATATAAAAGATACTTCAGAGAAAACTATTCTGACAGTGAACTACCTAAGTACACCATTTGATAAGGATAGTCATTAAAATCAACAGGCAGTTTCTAAAACTTCATTCATTACTTAGTTGATATCTGCTGAGTGTCAGGTGTAAGTAGTAGCTGCTACTATTAGAACTGAACACACTGTTTTAATAATTGTGCACTAATTAAAACTAGGAAGAGGTTACCTCATGGTTTCTGTTATATCATCTAAGAATGCAATGTGACTGCCTTGGTTTGACTCATTTCATATTTTACACCATAAAATAGTAAGTTCAGTGAAGAAAACAGCAGAAACAGACCCGTCTATCAACCTGGAGATAGTGTGTTGACTGCTTTACAAAGATGCCCCATGCCTTCTACTTCCACAAACCATACTATATTTAGAGCTATCACTGTGCAACTGACATATCCTTTTTGTGATTCACTAATTCATTTTATTCTTTAGTTTAAAAAAAGCACATTTCAGGCAATAGTCATATGAACACAGAATAAATATTGAATTATTGAATTCAGGGAATTCTTACTGGCATTGCCTGGAAATTCTCAGAATCTAATAATGCTACCAGGTCTCTTAGCTATTCTTGCCAATTTTCAGAAATAAAGCTCTTTTGTGAAAGTAAAATAATTTTAAGTAATACATTAGAAAACACTGAAGCATGAAAATAAATTGTGATTTCCATAAGCTTATACGTAGTTTTTATATTAATAGCATATATTCAATTGGAATTTTTTACCCATTTATACTCTGCTAAGAAATATTATGACCTACTTTTGTTGTCTATTATTTTATTCTCTTTTATTGTAGGTTATTAAATGTCAGATCATGAACATATAACAAACCACAAGGCAAATACATATATTTGCATGTGAGCCACAAGGAACACATTGTGCAGGTTGTTTAAGATAATTTAAACAATATTTGGTGAAAGATAAGAAAAGCATTCACTGGTAACTTAATGTACTTATTACAGAATTATCCATAACATTTTACTTTTCCTTATGTACCTAGAAGCCATATTGAGTTCCACATTTCAGATTTATCAGAGATTTTCTAAGGTGAAACAGGGACTGCACCTTGTATCATTTTGCTTTTGGTTTATTTAAATCAGAATGTGGATAGCATTTTCACATTCTGTCTTTGAAACATAAGCTGAGTTCTACCAATGAGGTAATATGAAACAAGTAATCAAATATTTGAAGCTAATTCAATATGTCCCTGGCAAAAGGGCAGCTGAGTAATCAAATTTGGATTTGTTCACTATTCATTCTGTATGCCAACTCTGATATCTGAAGTGGAAAGATATGAAGGCTACAAAGTAACAAGACCGTTGTTACTCCCTAATCTAGCTTCTGCTCCCTGCGTTGCCTTTCTTCTATCAAAAACACATAAAAAGAAATGTCTGTTGTAGGATGACTAGGTGTCAGGCATCCTAACCACTTCTAAAACTAAATATTTAGAAGGAAAAAATACTACTCACAATATCCTTAAATCAGGATTGGACAGATTGTACTTTGACTCAAATAAATAAATTTCAGAACTTAATACATCTAACACATTTGGAATAGTGATTTTTAAAATTATGTTTCATTTTATTCTTATTTATATCTCCAACCTTATTGCTAATAGATAAATGCATACAGAATGTCTGAATCATGGAATGCCTACAAACATTTCTTGAATGAAGGAATGTAAGAAAACACATAGATGCACACATGAATGAATGATCACAAAGAGCTTGCTGGTATATTACCATTTCCTTAGTTCCTCAATGCTGGAACTTGCTAGCTATGCAATCCTGAGCAGTGACTTAAACTCTTTAACATCTGGTTTCTTCCTTTGTATAATTTGCATAATAATTCTTCATTCAGTTGTAGAGGGTTAGATGAGATAATTCATGTCAAGTGTTTAACACTATGCCTGGCATATAATAAGTGCCCAATAAATGGAAGCTATTCTTATTATTGGGTAACTCTCTTATTGTGGTAGAATATGAAAACTAATCATGATGCCTTAACATTAATATAAGAAGAAATTTTGTCACAATATGGTAATATAAGTGGGAGAGAGAAATAGAGCAAAGATCCTGGGACAAATCTTTAAAAACAAAAACAGATTTTAAAAACTTCAAGTAATTATTTAGAAATGTTAAACAAAAGGAAATAAAATCCTATCCAAAAGTGGTAAATTAAATTCAGAAGTAGGGAAAATCATAGAAAGTGAAAAGTTGGCTGAAAATTATATAAACAAATGAGTTATAGAATAATGTATGCATCAGGAGCATTGCTGACTGAAGCCCACTGTCTCAAATATATCATAAATGAGACAAATATTCATGATATATTTTAGTAGACTGTGATGATTAAAAAAAAAACACAACCAAAGATGTGTTTGGACTGCATAGAGAAGTGTAAGATTCACTCATCATATAAGCAGGATTTTAAAGGAGTCTTGATAGTCACAGATGTATTTATTTATAATGGAAATTTTCAGAGGCTAGACTTTAAACAATTGGGGAAAATATTGTTAAAGAGTGGAGTCAAGCTGATATCAACATGTAGTATGTTTGAAAGATTGACAGGAATAAGTCTTTATCAAACATTTTTTTGCCAAGAGTTTCATAATGAAAATCACACTCCAAGTTAAATGTATATGATTTTAAAATATTTATTTTATAGCAGACATGACCTTTTACTATGGCACTTTCTATATTGAAGGTTTTCCTTTTTTCATTGGTACTCACTTTTTCTTTCAGGCACCGTCATACTGCCTATAGGATGCTCAGCTGCCTGTGAATCTTCTGGGCCTTTCTATTTTAAATGAAAAAAATAGCTGATGAAAGATAAGCAATAATCATCATTTTGTTGAAGAAATGAAACATCTGAAGAGTTATGTTGATTTTTTAAATGATATTTCAATACTCTAGTGTATATTAGAATTCTAAATTTCATAGACAAACATAAAAGGCAGAGTTGAAGAACTATAAACATGCTGTCTGCAGTCTCTACATTTAGATGAAAATAGCATTCTTTTGTAGATAGTCTTCCATGAGAGCTAGAGGCTACTGAGACAGTCTGTAAATTCAGACCCTTAAATTATGTAAGCCTTTATGAAACTCAAAGCTGTAGAAAAAAAACAACTTGGCACATCTCCCTTATGTTGGATTGTGGACCTAGGATTTGATTTCTGACTTTCAAGCAGATCAGTTATGGAGAAGAAACCCATACAAGCCCAATACCTCATTTCATTCTTTGTAACAAAATGTTCTGTTTTTGTTGCATTACCACTTAGTGAAAGAGTTCTGCTGATTAAGAAAGTAAATCAACAGGCATGAAAAATCTAAACATAATAACTCTTAAAACTTTCTTGTTCTTTCATATGATAGAGAAGTGAAATTTTGAAATTTAATTCTGTGAGCTAAGATTATATGATTTTATTTTACAGATTGACTCAGGGTTTAATTTTAAGAAAGTCACTTCTCCTGCCTGTTTCAGATCCTTATTCTATTCTATAAAAAGACTTTTGGGTTTTTTTGTTTGTTTGTTTGACCAGGCTATTGAACATGTCCTTTTAAAAAACATATTTATATAATTCTGTCATCCAAAGATGTGGAAACTTTGAGACAGATAACATCTTTTTTAAAATGTAAAACAGAGAAAGTAAATTCACATGTTAGAATGAACAGCAGCTATTTGAAATATGTAATGATAGGCTCATTTTTTGAAGAATGGCTCAGAAGTAAGGCAGGTCTATAGCATACAGGGTTAATAAAAGTTCTATCTAATAAAAGGTCTATGGCATACAGAGTTCATAGAAGGTTAATAGGCAAGACAGATCTCTTGCCTAAAATGGTGGACTGAGAAATAAAAAGGTGATTTTTTTACATTATATCAAAAATATGATTATAATCACAAGGCTCTATAGATCTTATTAAAAGTTCAAATATTTATCCCAAGATTTCCCCCTCAAAGAACTATATATTGTCACATTATGTGAAGGGATATAGAGGCCAACATCCCAGATGCCTTGCTGATTGGAAAGAGTTGTAAGTTTCTCTCCTTCCTCAAAAAAAAAAAAAAAAGGAATTGAACTCATGAAACAATCTTAAAAGTTTTTATTATTTCTATTCTGTTTTAGGTTGATCTCATAGCTTAAATAATAAAAGGAATAGTGAATATATTATTAATGAATTAGTGTATTCAAAGAGTTCAAAACTCATTCAGTTAGCATCAGAGAATTGTTTACATGGATCTTAGGGTTCTGGACCCTTCATTCAAACAGAAGGAATAAATTTAACATTAAAGTGATTTTTAAAACTAATCTCAGCCTCAAGTTATTTTCTTTCAAACCACACGTGAAATATCTAAGCAATAAACACAAGGAGGCTTTTAAAATCATTTTAAAAGGACCATTTTTGTTCATATCCCTAAGTTAGCTCCAGATTTGCAGTCTACTGCCAGACTTCTATTTTGCTGTGTTAATATCACAGGAATAACTCATTTATCTCTACTCAGTCCAGAATCTGTGCTTGAACTCCTTACTGGCCCATGATTAGAGGAAGCACGTTTTCTAACTACCACATATTACCTCATAATTCCTTGTCCCTTTACTTGTTACTTTGAGAATTAGAATGGAAACCTGATTGGAAGCTGTGTTTGGAGAATTCATATGGAGGATTATTGTCATGGAAAAATTAGTGTGATGGAAGGCACTTTTTATGAGACATCTCACTAGGCAGAATCAGTTCTCTCCTGCACTATGAAATGAACACCCCACTCTTAGATGTACTAACTAATTCCTTGCTCAACATTTATTTGCACCCACTTAATCATGATTAAGGATTAGTCAGAATGAAAAAAATTAAAGGTCAACTGGCTTATGGAATCTTGTAAACAAAATAATGAAGGGGATATATGTTAGTCTGATCCATACACTTTTTTTTTTCAGAAGTGGCACATCTGGAAAATGTTCTTAACTCTTTATATCAGGAATCAAATGCTAGGCAAAGTTTTCTAAACAGTATCTATCATGGTCAAGAAAAGGAAAATCAAAAGTGGCTTCTGCAATACTTATCTATACTAGTGAGTATCATCTGATCATCAAGGAATAAAAGAGGGTAATCACATCAGTAGAATACTTCAAATCAATAACCTACCAACTGGATAGTTGAAGGAGATTTACCTCTGCCTGATTTGTCACTTAACTCAGAGTTGAGAATAAGATGTCGGGAATGTCCCACGTGACCACTAACCAATGAATGTGGCCTGCTGGATGAGGATGGTTTAACATTAGTACCAAAGCCAGGAAGACACAAGTACAGCCTTTGTCAGTTTCATGCTTCTATTTAACATTTTGCCATTTGGCCAAGGGGTAAGTGACACAAAAAACGTACCAGAGGAATCTCATTGTGAGCAATACTTGCTAAAATGCCTCCCCTTGAAGCACAGACTGTTCTAAAGCATCAAACATATTTGTAATGCTTGAAGAATAATTTCAAATTTTTAATTATTATTTTAAAAGGTTTTAATATTACATTGTCTTTTTTTTTTATTTATAGAGGCATGTTTTTATTTATTTATTTATTTGTTTGTTTTGTTTTGTTTTTGTTTATACATGCACTGGGTACAGTCAGAAGCGCGGGAGGGTGAGAGAATTCACCAGAGCCAGAGCGGGGAGCAGAGCAGGCAGAAGGACTGAAGTACACTGCTGAGGGGAGCAGCGGGTGGCAGGAGAGGTCTGCGCGCCAAGTGGGACCCTCCTCCGGTGGCCGGGGAGCAGCCGGGGATCGAACCGGCGCTGCAGAGGCTGCGAGAAGCTTCGCAACCCAGTGCTCAACCGCTGCGCCACCAGGGAGGCCCAATATTACATTGTCTTTTGTATTTACTGAAAAAAATGTATTTATTACAAAACTAAATGTAGAATTCTTTCTGATGAAGATACCAAAAAGATAATTTAAACAATCGTATGCCCTATTACTACTAAATTAAAGCACTTTCAAAACATTCACATTCCTTTTATTATGCAATGTCATAAATCTTGAAACTATGTTTCTGAACTCATTTTAAGTTGCCCGACAAGTCCAAGGACAATCTGAATTAATGTAACCTTTTACCTATTGAGAATTTATTTATTTCCATCTGATTAAATTTCTAATTATTTGTTTTAGCTTGAGATGTTAGCTTTGTAATTTAGTTCCCCCAATCCTGGAATGCTAATATCTTGGCCTCTATTATTGCTTTATGTGTTTATTGAGGTTAGAATTCCTTCTGTGAAGTTTAAATTCCCAAAATTTTAGAGTAAGTACTGAGATTCAAGATGGCATTCTTAACTTCTAAATTACTGTAGCATCCACCTTTGACTGCATGGTATAAAGCAGCCCTACTTTATCAAAGCAGAGTTTTTTTTCTTTTTTATAGAATTTTATTTTAAATCTACTTATTACAAAAACTCAAATATAGAGAAAAGATGTCAGAATTGTAATGTGAATCCTCAGATATCTACTCTCTCCATCCTACAATTGACATTTTACTATAACTATTTTAACCCATATCTATCCATCTATCATCTCTCTCTTTTTAATGAATAAAATAAAACTTTGAATAAATTTTGGAGTCAAAACAAACAACAAGCACTGATATTTTAAAAAGACTACTCAAGCGTGCCCTTAGCACAGACATTGTGCATTATGTGAACAGGCAGAATGCCAGTGAGTAAGAAGAAAACCATAGAGAACTGCACAGCCCCTGGAAATTGTAAGAAAAATTTGCTTTATTTTAAACTGTAGGAGTCTTTCATAAGCAAGCATTAATCTTTTTAATCATCTCAACAAACAGCTAATCTATTTTCTTACAGGATAATCTATAAGAGCAACAAGAAAAAAAATCCATAAATGGTAAATCACTGTTTGATGTTTTATTATATAAATAGAAATTCATCAAATACAGGCACAATGAAAGAAATTATTCAAGCTTGGCAAAAAAAGATGTACCACAAATCCTATGATGAACTTCTTGTTTTTATAATTTTAGATGCCCTTAAGTCAGAAAATGATGGGTAATTTTGTGAATTTTCAAAGTTTTTGGTTTATTTGGTTTTGGTTAAAAGACCAGATTTGAAATGGCCTGTTTATAAACTAGCCATGAAGGTTCAATAACATGTTGTAACAAGTACATTATTGCGCCAGACAGGTGTTTTAAAAATTAATAACCATATTTATAAAGAAGCGGCCAGTTAGAATAATCTGCGTATTCCAGAAATCAGAGCCCCAACCTTTCTACAGACAACTTCATGCAGATGCCAACAACTTTTGCACAAGTACTATTGAACTAATATGAGTACTCTGAAGTCAAAGAAAAGATAAAATTTTAAATATACCTTGGCACTTGGAGATACAAGAAGAATAAAACATTTTTCTATCAAGAAAAATACATGGATGCCTCCAATTAATCCCAAAAGTTTCCAAATATGACCCTTGCTTTCATGATAGTGAAACTCCGAGGACTCCTGCTTATGTAAACCAAGAACCTGCAAATATTTTTAAAAAGAAAGAAGAGAGAAAGAGACAGCAACATAAGGAAATAATTTCTAATGACTCAAATATTTATTAGTAGGTCCAGTATTAAATGTATTCAGCTTTCACTCTGGGAAGCCCTGTGACAACTTCTGAATTCATTCAAAGTCCAGTCTCCTTTTAGACATACGAATGCTTCTACTACATGATTTAATTTTCATATATGCTCCTCTCAATTCTTTAGCTGAATTTATTTCCAGGTACTGAACTGAACTTTGCTTGCACAGCAAGGCTTAATAATGACCAGCACTATTTTCAGTTCCCTGGGATACAAAAGGATAGTATTAGGTATTTTCCTCTAGTTAACTCATCCCATTGGTTGACCTTGTGATTTCTTGCAAGCTCATAAATCATTATTTATCATGTTCCCGCCCCAGAAGAAGGCAATTTGGGGATAGTTCAGTGGCTTCCACATTTACGATATTACCATTAAATTTACAAAAGGGAAAAACAAATTACATGTGCATATATAGTATGTATATGTGTTCATTCACATATGTATGCAGATATTTAGGTATATGCAAATGTGCACATACGTGAGTCTATGTGTTTACATTTATATGTGTGTATATTGAATGTGCAGACAAAACTAAAATCAAATATATGTCAGTAAACCTTTTTTTTGGTAAAGACATTAAAGGACACCTACCTAATATTTCTAAGACCATTATTTCACAAAGTAGAGAACACTACTATCAGAAAACCAAACAGAAGAAGCCACACAATCTCAGAATAAAAAGTAGATCTTTGAGTAAATGTAGCTAGTTAAAAAAGGAAATCATGGTGATGAGTTTTCTCACTTTCAGTGCAGACTTCTGAAACTTGCCATGACCACATTTCTGGAACCACTGGTTTTCCTAGCTTTCCACCACACTTGTGCTACATCCTTCTTCTTATTCCCAATAATTTTTGTTCTCATCTCTTTTCTCAAGTAAAAGAAAAAAATCAATCTAAAATCACCTTCTAAATTTCATGAAACCCAGCTAATCTCTAAGTCCCCCTGTGTGTCATGTCTCTGTAGAATCAGCTGACAGTTGCACCCACCCCCTAGTTCACCTCTGCTGCCCCAATGGGGTGGACCCAGGGACCTTTAAGATGCTTGTGCTGTTTCCCAGGATCCTGGCAGTGAACAGCCATGAATCCACAGCAGTGACCTAGAAAAAGGCCTTGGCCACTGCCTCAAGCCAATAAGCCCTGAAATATTTCCAGAAAATTAGATTACAAGGGAAATTAAAACTAATAATGGTTTGTTTCATTTCTCCAATGCTCACTTTGTGATTTTCAGAACATCTAATAATTATTGAGCCTCTAAGGAACAAGGGTGAACCATTAGGAAATTGCCAGAGGCTTGTGGAAAATTTTACCATCTCAGGCTTTGTAAGAGGGGGGATTATTTAGGCATCGTATATTATTATCTCATAAGGGACTTCAGAGAGAAAAGATAACCTCACCCAAAGACCCTTCTGCCTGAATTCTTGCATCTTGGGGGCCAGTCCTTTCATCTCTGACAAATAAAGAGGCTCAGAAGGTTTCATCAAAGAACCAACTTCCTGGTGGTAACATTTTTCTTAAGGGAAATCCAGATGACCATTGGCAAGAAAGAGAATTATTTTAATTTGAGGTAACATTGATTTATAACATTATATAGGTTTCAGGTGTACAGCATAATAAATCCGTATCTGTGTAAACTACATTACATTCACCACCAGAAGTCTAGTTTCCATCCAACACCACACAATTGACCCTTTTTACCCAATTTACTACTCCCTCCTCTCTTCCCTCTGGCAATTAATATTTTGCTCTTATAGTTTAGCACTTGTTTTTGTTTATTTAGTTCATTTGATGTTTGTTTCATAAGGCATTTGTCTTGCTCTGACTTATCTCACTAAGCATAATACCCTCAAGATCCTCTATGTTGTTGCAAATGGCAATATTTCATCTTTTTTGATAGGTGTACAGTGTAAATATACCCATCTTCCTTATTCACTTATCTGTCAATGGACATTTAAGATGTTTCCAATTCTATTGCTAGTGATACTGCAATGAACATGAAGATGCACATATATGCTTAAGATTATTGTTTTCATATTCTTCAGCTATCCCAGAAGTGAGATAGCTGGACCATGTGATATTTTTATTCTTAATTTTTAGAGGAATCTCCACATTGTATTCCATAATGGCTGCACTAGATTATATTCCTACCAAAGTGCACACTCTTGTAGATAACTAAATTTTGATGGTTCAAATCAAAAGAGGTCAATAATAGTACTATTGTGAGCAAGGTCAAGGGTATAAACAAGAGAAAATGAGGCATCTAGAAACTAGCAACCCCAGGAAACCATTACCATGCTTCAGGCTGAAAGAGCAAAGGACACAAATGCCCAAAAATAGATGACTGAATCAAGAAGATGTGGTATATATACACAACAGGATATTACTAAAAAAGATAAACTCATGCCATTTGCAGCAACAGGGATGGAGAGGGAAGGGATTATGCTCAGTGAAATAAGCCAGAAAAAGAAAAGTATCAGATGGTTTCACTTATAGAAGGGATGGGGGGGTAGAAAGTAAAATAATTATTATCATTTATTATAATAAAGTGAAAATCAAAATTAACAGGCAACTATAAGCCAGAGAAATTATGCAGGGGGCAGGGAGGAGGGAGTAGGATCAAAACAGGGGAGGAAAGAGCACAAGGGACTATGGTGATGGTGCACAGATGAATGGGTGGTGGGAATTTCACAGGGACATCTGAGCAGAGAAAGCATGTATTGTACAAAAATGAAGAATGATGTAAAATAAAAAAATTTTTTTAAATGAAAGGGCAAAGGAAAGATATGTTACTGGAGGTCAAAGGAAGCTGAAACTGTAGCATTGCAGAGAATTAGCAGCTTCTAGTGCCAGTGCCTGAGCCAGGGGGAATTTGGGAAGAAACGCCCCTGCTATTCTTCCCTTCCGGCCTGTCTTTTCTGCTGGGCCTCCCCAATGGCTGAGCCCAACCTACCAGGGACCTGAGACCCACACAACCTTCAGGGGTAGAACAGGGAGCAGAGAATGGATATGATGAGGGCTGGGAGCAACTGAAGAAAAACTGGAGTAATATCTGACAGACCGTTCACACTTACTTATGGATTATTACTATATGTGTCCTGATATTTTCCTTAACAAGAACCTATATCTGGTGACCTTTTATTTCAATTTCAAAAATACGAATGCCATCTGTAAAAATTTTGCATAAACATCTCCAGTGGGTAAAGGTAAAAGGAAATTAGAAATACTCCATTTGAAATAGAAAACAGAGGGTTACCTGGGGGATAAGATGGAGGAGAGCATCCCCAGAAAGAGTCCCAACAGCCAGGCCCACAAAGAGCTGTAAAATAAGCCTGTAGTTCTCTTCACAGCTGTGGAAAAGGATCAGTGTAGTCCCGAGCATGGAGCCCAGTGTCAGCAGCACCACAGCCACAGTGCTGTAGCCATATTCTAAGTCAAAAGGAGATTAGAAAACCAGTCAGAGCTCACTGTCCTCTATATAACCTCAGCTAATGAAAATACCAGAAGAATCCATATTATCATACAGCTTATTGGGACATGAAATTGTTTTAAAAGTATTAGATTGTGCAAAAAATTAAATTTTAAGGAAAGAATAAAAATACTTAAATAAGAAAAAGAAAGAATAAAAAGACTCTTGCTAGTAGCCCTCTTGCTTTGAAGCTACTCCTCATTGAAAATCACTCTGGCAAGCAAGGAACTTGCTGAACTCCCAGACCCCCATCCGTCATGAATTAATTTCTCTCACTTAAACCATGACAGGCACTGGTCATGATTTTTACCTGATCACATTTAAACCTTTTGAAGGCAGGGGAGCAGTGCTACAGAGGGAGTATATCATTTGGGCTCGTTGTATGTACAACATGAGTATTTACTTCCAAAAGCTCTCAAAATTACTTATAATATCAAAAGTGTCCATTATTATTTTCAATGACTAAATAGCTGATAGGATAAATGTGGACAAACTGCAGTTTGGGTTATTGTAATATTTTCTATAATCCCTAAATTGATTCTTTATTTCTAGGTTTCTAGGTTTTTATATTCATAAAACGCAATTTTTTTTTAGATTTATCCATTTATTTATACAAGAACTGGGGTACAGGCCTGATGCGCGGGAGAGTGAGAGGACTCACCAGAGACAGAGCGGGGAACAGAACAGGCAGACTGATGAAATACACTGCTGAGGGGATCAGCTGGCGAGACAGGAGAGGTCTGCGGCCCCATGTGGAACCCTCCCCGGATGGCCGGGATTGAACCGGCCCTGCAGAGGCTGCAGACAGACTCACAGCATTGCGCTCAACCACCTGCACCACCAGGGGAGGCCCCAGAAAATTAATTTTAATATTATTCAACTAAAACAAACAGGCGCAAGGAGAAGAAACAAAGGAGAAAAGGAAAAGAGATTAAAAGGGGAAAAGTGGCTTGAAGAATAAGTATAAAAGACTCCAGCATAAAGGGTTATTCACACTAGTATTCCTTCGTTTGCAGATATTTGAGTGAATACTGTTTTCTACTTGGAAATTACAAGTCATTGCAAACTGGTTTGTAAAGAATGAAGGAAAGTAATTATAAAATTCAACATTCATTTCCTTAAGTGATGACAGATACATAATAATTTAAATCAAACATTTAACTGGTAATGCCTTTTAAAACCCATCATAGAATTTAAGAAAATATCTATTTAAAGTTTATTATAATGGAAGATATTCCATTCTCATCATACTTGTAAATTTCTGGAAGGTGTATCCTCTACAAAAGATCATGTTAATGATACTAGCTGGTAACATGATATTGGGGTTCAGGCTGCCCCAGATTGTGCCACCTGCATTGCATATTGATTTTTCTCAACTAAAGTTCCTTAAGAGCTTGTAAGTCTTCTTAGGTCCTCTGTGAGTCAGGATTTACTTGTTGATATGTCAATGACAGGCTGGAAACCATGAACTCTCTGCCTTTAGAAACCATGGGATCTGGCATCTTGATTGGAGTGTGGTGATTTACAGCCAGACTCTAGATGAAACTTTCCCATCATTATAATACAACTTGACCTATGATTAAATTCATAGCCACTCCTGAGCACCTACTTCAAACAGGTCTGACAGCTGATTTACACATGGACACAACCATCTTTCCTGGGAACCAGGCTCAATGTGGCACTGAGGCGCTGAGTTGCAACATATTCTATTTTCAAGCTATCACTGACCACCAAGCACTGAATTATTTAGCTGCTAACTTTTTCTTTTTTTTTTTTAAGATTTATTTATTTATACAAGCACTGGGTACAGTCAGAACCACGGGAGGGTGAGAGAATTCACCAGAGCCAGATTGGGGAGCAGAACAGGCAGACTGAGGAGAGCAGCGGATGCGGCAGGAGAGGTCTGTTGTGCCATGTGGAACCTTCGCCTGGTGGCCAGGGATTGAGCTGGAGCTGCAGAGGCTGCTGGCAGCTTCGCAGCCCAGTGCTCCAGCGCTGCGCCACCAGGGGAGGCCCTTTAGCTGCTAACTTTTAATGAAGCTATGTTCCTCCCACTAAATGGGGAACTTAAACAATAGGTCTGTAGCTAAAAACATGGCATGTTTTTGCTCAAATAAAATGCCCAAATACCACTTGATTCTGTAGAATCCACTGTGAGTTAGAAATGTTTAGCTGAACAATTTGTCTTTTATGGGCATTGTAGACTACCTCAAATAGAAAGAAAAGCATTTCTGAAAAATACATAGAAGGCCCTCAGATCAATGGTAATATTTGAAACACTGCATGTGTTAATTGCCACATTTTTACTATCCATGTGGATGTTCTTAGCCTACCACTTCTGTTTTGTCTTTTAAATACATATTGCTTTAAATTTACAGGACACATTTTTGTTCATATTATGCCACTGGGATTTCAGGTGTACCTCATGAAGACTTGTGGTAGAACTCACCTTCTGCAATGAATCAGTGGAAATCAGATGAGTGCAAATATTGATCCCTTCACTCCCTGGAGATGCCAGCCAGATGTGGAGTCTGGTACCTCCCCACAATGGTCACTTCCATCCTAGAAAATCTTCTTTGACTTATCCTAATGTGCCTTTGTTTTTAAATCTGTGTTATGATGTGAAAGAATGGGAAGCCCCACAGCATCTCACTGCTTTCTCACAGTGTACAAAAAAAGAACAACTCAGGGAAATAAAAGATGGCTTGAGCTCATAAGTTGGCTGGGGATAGAAGGCATGACCCAACTCTGCATTCCTGACCCAATACTAAAGGTCATTCTCTTATACCATGACACTTCTCAGCTATGGACTTTTAAGTTGGTATGTGAGTGAGTCAAATATAGGGGAGCAAAATAAATTTATTTATCAATTGTAGGCAAAATACCAAATATTCAATGAAAATTATAAAGGCATTGAAAGGCATACTGGTTGAAGACTGGGATATGGGAATCAGCTTGCCTTGGTTTGAACCCTAACTTCATCATTTCCCAGCTGTGTGTCCCTGGCCAACTCACTTAACCTCTGAGGCTCAATTTTCTTATCTGTAAAATGGGAATAGTAAGAATATATAGCTCATAACATTGTTGTAAGGATTAAATGAGCTGATAAGTGTAAAGTGCTTAGAACGTGCTTGGTATGTAGTAAGTATCCTGCATTCACCACTAATATTACTTACATTGTGTACATTCTCTTTTCTTAAGTTTTATTTATTTACTGATGCATAGAAGAACTGGGGTGTAAGCCAGAGGTGCAGGAGGTGAGAGGATTCACCAGAGACAGAATGAGAAGCAGAATAGGCAGATCTACTGAAATACACTGCTTAAGGGAGCAGTGGGTGAGACAGGAGAGGTCTGTTGAGCCATATGTAGGTTAGCTCCCTGGCCAGGGATCAAACTCAGGCCTTAGCAGTGATAGCCCTGAGACTTAACCCCAAGGCCACCAGGGAGGCCCCATACTTCACTTTCTGAGTGAAAAATCAGAACTTACTCTCTAGAGTGGTGGGCGGCAGCTTTGCCTGTTGGTCCTTGGGCAGCTGGCAAGAGCAACTCAGCAGTTGCTGGATGATTCCAGGACTCATTTGCATAAAGTCTTCCTTAGAAATGGGTGAAAAGCTGTTCTGTAGAAATATCTCCATCAGCTGCCTAGCAGAGAAACAAGTCTATATGGGAAAAACATACATTATTGCTAACTTCAGCACTAAACCAAACTCACCATCAATGGCTGTTCTTTTTTGGTAAGATTATTTTTTAACTATTTTTAAAAAGAACAACAGCTTTATTTTTCACCAATTCTTGAGTCTTGTATTTCTTTTATTATATAATTAACTATGCTATGTTTTTGAAATGACCAACAATTTACTGTATTCTATGCTTTTCTTCATAGCTTTTCTTGGTAATTAAATTTCTCTTGGAGTCAATGCTGGTTATGTATTTTTTTAACTTGTATTATTTTTCACAAAAGCATAGACAAAAGCAAACCCTAGAATCTGACTACAGAACTGAAACTATCAGAAGGGGAAGGTTGGAGTTGGGGAGCAAAGTGTGGAAGGAGTCCAATGAACTATATTGGAGGACTTTGGGTGCCTCAGAAGTGGGTGTGGTGTGGCAACATACATCTGAAGAAGTGTGAACCCATCCCTATGAAATACATCCAGTGTTGTATGTTCCACATTATCTCAGCATAAAAGAATACAATGTCATTGCTGAGGAGTCAGAACTAAACAGAATGGCTAAAATGGACAAATGTAGCCATTATTCCACATTTTCCTGAAAACTTTCATCGCTATGTATTTCCAAAGTTTATTTTTAATCTATCAAAGTCAGCAATATCTCACTTTCTTTTTGAGTATTAGCATCAGGTAGCAGACTTTTATTTTCTGAAAATACACAGCAACCTAAGGGAGTTTAGATACTTTTGTTGTTTTTCAGTGAGGAGAGCTTTGTATGAAGAAAGTTAAAATGTCATATGATAACAAGAACTCTAAGATAATGAGGTCATTCTCTTTAATACTCTGATTTAATAAACCTGTGTAGGCAACATGTATTTGTAAATGCAATAACAAGCAAATACATGAAAATGTGGATGCTGTGTCAACTAGCTGGTGTATAAATATTGAATGACTTGGCTACACTCAGCACTAGATATTTCTTCTCCACAAAAACAATTGAAGTCATTGTTATTACCTAATGATTTTACTGAATTTATGCAAATCTTTGCGTTTCTTTCATATTTATATGTATATTCCTAAGAGACAAGTATCACAAATAAACAATAAGTATAGTATAACAGATTGCTAAAAATGGCCTCTAAGTATTTGTCCATTTGGTAAATATCTCTTTAAAAAAGGGTAACTTCTACTTGGATTTTTGGTGTTTTTCCTATGCCTGCTCTTTATTAAAAATAACCAGTTCAAAATAATCCTTATGCCAGGGAGGAATATTTTGGGGCAGCAAATTCTGCTTCCCTGCATATGAAAATCAACACTGCAAAAAAGCTTAAGGAGAATTCTCATCCCAATACACAAGATTCAATATTAATTTTGGTGGCCTACAGGAATTTCCCATGTCAACACACAAATAGGTTTGTTAAGAAAACCTTACTAAGCTTGTTTTTGAAACAATACTTGGCTCTCTTTTGGGTGATTATGGATGAGCCTATGAACCATAATATCTCCTGAGTACACAGCAAGAGTCCTACAGAAAGTCTTTCCAAAAGATACAAATATAAAATGCCAAAGCTCAAACCCTATCTGATTGAAGCCTTTCATTTGCTCTGTGCCTACCCATTATTTTAATCATTTCAGTCAGTAAATTTTGAAGGAAAATAAAGATAACTATGAATTAATTTTCAAGCATCTCTATTTTGTTTGTTTTTTAAAAAGAAGAGTATTAGGGGTTGATATTTTGAATATCAAAAATTACATTTAAAAGTTTCAATATATGAATGAGAATGATATGGCTTCCATTGGGGAACTTCTATTGAAATATGACCCCCAGAGCAATGTCTTTGTGGTCATTGGTTACAGAAAATAAGGTATTTTTAAAAAATGGTGAATTATGAGTCTTGTCTAATTTGCCCTGATATAGAACACAGGGATTGTTAACAAAGGTACATTGCTAATCAGGATATAATGATGACATATTTGCTGTTTTTCCTCGGTGTAGATATCCTTAGGATGAGTCCAAGGGTAAAAAAAGTTTTGTTTTGTTACATGGAACAGAACTCACTCATTCAACAGAAACCAAGAGAAAAGGCAAAAAGATCTCCAAAACCGAAAGCATAAACTTAAAATTAGTCACCACTGTGTGGAGGAAAGGAAACTTTATTTTCGATCAATTTTTAAGGATTAACCTGGAAGACAGCAGTTCAGTGGAAAAAGGATTCCAGTAGGTGCTGCTGCTATTTTTCATGCCAACACCTCCTCCCCATTCCCCAAAGGTAGGATCCAGCTTATATGTCACTGGAACAGATGGGGTTCTTCTCAGTAGGAAAACAGAGAAGGTAAGCATATTAGAGGAGCAAAGCATTCATTTTTGCCCACATATGGCAATTTCCTAGCACACTGACATACTTGAACTCAGGATCTTTAATGCTATGACAGATTCAATCTCTTTAAGAGAGAAAAATCTATCAAGAAAATGCCATTGCTTCTGTTGGATGCTGCAAGTTGCTTCAGGACACCGGAGACTTCCACATGGCAGATTCCTGCTAGTGATAGTCAAACTGACTGCAGGGTGCTTTTTCATAGCAAATATCTGAAATTTGCTGTCTCAACCTCTGCAGATCTACTTTTCTTTGTACCCAATCTTTATTGATTTTTTTTTTTTTTTTGCCACAATAGTCATACCTCAGTAAGAACTCAACTCAAAGCTGGGAAATCAGATCCAGAGATCTCTCTGTTGGGGTGGCGGGGAGAGCGGGGGGCACATGTTTTCTCCATTCTGTTTCCCTCTGCATATATCTATTTCCTTTTGGAGTCTAGCCTTCTCTCTTTTAGCAAACAAATGGCCATATTAGTTCTACTACTGAAGAGATCTTTCAGTACAAGAGCCCAAGATTGGGTTGAGTTTGCAAGTCCTGCTTGAGTCTGCAACCCATTACTGGGTTCAGTAATGCCCAAGACAGGCTCTCTTGGCTCAGATGCCCTTTTGTTTCAATCATTTTTGAGCAGGAGATAGGAAGTGACTCAAACTATTGAAACTGCTAGCCTGACCCCTGTGGGTAAGGAAGGTATTTCACTGTAAGGGATTTGGCAAGAACTCCAAAATCTTTCTACTACCAAAAAAGCAACAACAAAAAGCTAAATTTGTGATGTCTTCTCTTTTACAAAATTGTGCCAAAGACAACATTCGCCTTTGGGCTCCTTGTTACTAATGAAATGTAATTCCTTCATCATTAAAAATACTGACAATAAAAAAGGGAAGCTTGCAACAAATTTTGATGACAAATTCTTCATAATATGCTTACTGCAAAATGCCTGAATGGCAAATAAAAGAGTAAAGAGATAAACTTGAGCAGAATGCCATGTCTCTTTGTGCAGTTCATGTCAAGAAACTGAACAGTTTCTAGTTTTAGAATGTCTCCTCATAGAGTAAGGTTATGCTATTAAAAGCTTTTGTGCCCTTGATCTTTACTAGTTGTTCCTGCACTGTTTAGGTCATTGTTTTAACTTTTTTCTGAAATCACTAAACCAAATGTTTTTAAAGATGATTCACTATTTCTATAATATTCTAAAAATAAAATTTTAATAAAGAAGAAAATAGAAGGAAAAATTAGATTATCCAACAATAACCTGTAAAATATTTTTATTCCTTTACTTAAAATTTCAGTGTGTGTATACCTGTTTTGGTAGAAAATTTACCAACATATTACAAAGCAGTGGCCCTGAACTTTAGTTTTACGAGTCACTTGGAGGAATTGTTAAAAGACAGAGAGCTAGAGAGCTGGGCCTCCCCAGTGGTGCAGTGGGTTGAGCGCAGGGCTGTGAAGCTGTCTGCTGCCTCTGAAGCGCAGGTTCATCCCAGCCGGCCAGGAAGATACCCACATGGCGTGGCAGATCTCTCCTGTCTTGCCCTGCTCCCCTCAGTGGTGTATTTTGTCAGTCTGCCTGTTCTGTTCCCTGCTCTGTCTCTGGTGAATCCTCTCACCCTCCTGTGCTTCTGGCCTGTACCCCAGCTCTTGTATAAATAAAATAAATCTTAAAAAATAAGTAAATAAAAGGAGGCAGAGGGAAGAGATTCACGCTTCCTGCCCTTCTTAAAAAAAAAAAAAAAAGAAAGAAAGAGACAGAGAGCTCCTCATTCAGTTTATGGTCCAGAGAACATGCATTTCCAGCAAATCCTCAGGTTAAGTTGATATTACTGGCCTAGGGTCAACACTTCGAAAAAAACTGGTCTAAAGCACATCAGCAGGAGCCTCCCGTCCTTCAATATTAGGGTCCCATCAAGAGTCACAAGGTAAGTGATACGCTGGCAGACAGAAGAACAACTGTGGAAGAGGCTGAGGCTGTTTTGTTTATTTTGCAGAGTTAGCACATGAAATAATTTTTACTGTTCTTAGAAGACACATTCCCTAAGTAGGCAATCCCTATGTTTTAAGACATAACCCTTGTTCTTTATGCAAATAGGGTCTCCATTGGCAAAATTTGTTCCCATCCTAAAACAGGTCCTAAAAAAGCCTTTAAGAAAACTTCACAGAAAAGGATTAATATTGGTATCAACTCTTGTCATCTTCAGCTGAATATAATAAGCATGAGTTTGAAAGAATCAACTTTAATAGATGCAACAAAAATTTACTTTTTAAAATATAAAAAGCCAAAAATGTGATACTGTCCAACCACACATTCATAACTGAAGAGAACAACACTAATTATTTTTAGGAGTAGATAAGGAATTTTTTTCAATAGCAGTATTGCTCATCAAGATACATAATAAAAATAGTTTCATTTAAACCGACATCTCTCAACAATAATATAGTTGTTACAAGAATGAAATATGTTATCAGACAACTTAAGTACATGTGCTCAGTTTCCGTGAACTTAAGCAATCATTTACTGACTCCAACCCTCAATTTCCTCATCTATGAGATAGAGTAATATAATCTAACCTCTCACAGTTGCTGTGAAAATTCAATAAGGTAACGCACTTGAAATAGCACTATGTGTAATGCATAGCAAGTATTACATAAATGTAAGCCATTCTGATGGAATAACTATTTCTTAGGATTTTAAATGATTAGGGCATGGGAGGATTCTATAGGCAAAGCTTGAGAAATGATAGATTCAGTAATATTAAAGAAATTAGGAGATTAATAAAATCAGTTTATTTATTAAAGGAACTCAGACATCTTAAGATGCTACATGGTAATATACTAATATACATGTTTAACATTTCCCAGATTGCTTTGATAAAACCACCCCTCTTCAAGGAGCATCAAAGTAGGCTAGTAAATGTACTTTGGAACACAACTTCAGGAAATGTGGATCTGCTCATAGATTCATATATTACCTTTTCTCAAAAATCTCTACCTTTATAAAAATATTTCTCTGTTGCACATGGTGCAAAGTAATCTTTGTGTAATCTAACCTAAATTGAATGTGTTCATTCATCATTATATTTATGTAATGTCTATATCTTCCCACTGCCTTGTAAGTGTCTCTAGAGTTATGCCTATTTTTGGCCAAAATTTTATCCCTAATGCTCAGGATGATGGTTACTTGCACAGAGTAAATACCTCATATATGTTTGTCGAATGATTCATACATTCAATATAAATCTCAAAGGAGGAAAGAGGTGTTTTTTCATTAAATATGTATGTGTGTATTGCTACATATACCCATGTATATTTCTGCAAAATATCTTGTTACCTGGTTGATGTCTGCAGAGATCCACTTGTAGAAGAGAAAAACCATGACTACTCTGTGAAAAATAGATTATTTTTAATATTTAAAGGAGATAAACATTTTCCTATAAGGTTTCTACAACACATATAAAACTTTCTCAGCTGGACTTCCTTGATAATAGCAAATGATTGTATAAGAATAATAAGGACAATACCTGGTCCCAGGAAACTGAGCCATCTTCTGACTCATGGTCCATGGATACAGACCGACTAGGGTAAACCCAGTCGTGGATGGTTTTGTTGTTTTGTTTACTTTGAATTTGATGGACATTATTTTTTCTGATGCAGGCACTTTTGGTCCAGAGAGTGTTGAGGAGGAGGTCTAGTTCTAGAAATTCCATACAAAATCTGGCGTCACATAGGATAAAGACAGGTCATTTTCAGAAAAATCACAATTTTACATGGCCACAGCATAGATATTTTACTAAACTGATTTGGTTCTAATGAAAAACCAAAATTCACCCCAAACAAGAATAAAGACTATTTATTATTCACATGTGTATTAATTCCCTCACAAGATCTTGACTAAGCTCTGGGGCTAAACCAGTCTTATAAAGATATTCCTACAATTGTTATCTCATTTCCACCAATGGAGTACCTTCCAATGAGCCAACTAATTCTTTCTCTAGTCTTCTCTATAAAAATGTAAACAAAAGACAGAACTGGCCTAACCCTTGAGGAATTTATTTCCTCGAGACACCGTAGGTCCTCAGTAGAATAATTATAACCTTAATGTGATTAGGCCAATCAAATTATTTTCCTTTTAAGGATTTATATAGAAAAGAGGAAGGAGATGTTTGTCCTGAAAAGACCACCTGCATGGTCTTGCCACATGCTAAGATAAATGGTGTTTAATACATTGGAACCAATTCAGTCATGAAGAGTTTCAGTCTTTATTTTGAACAGAATTTATTTAGTAGGTGAGAGTTGGAAGTTAAATTCATGAAAAACTTACCTGATAGGTGGAGAGTATTTGTACTATTCAAGGAACTGAAAATATAGTCTGTAAAATAGTCTGGGGAAGGAAACTTTCTTTGTCCCAGACAAACACCTTGGAGGGACAACGCAATGATTGTTGCCGCCAGCTGAGGAAGTGTATTTTCATCAGCACCATCACTGCTTACTATTCCAGACTTTTCCTGCAACATTTTGGTTCCCATGCACTGAAATCAGATACAAGGTGAAAGGAAATTTTAACTTCTGAAGTTATTTTCATTAAAATGTCTCTAGGAGTTCTGCCAGAAAACAAGAATAGTTCATCTAAAAGAGGATTGAATTGTTTTCTGGGCATATGACTACTATGATTCTCCAGTCTCAGATATAACTCTCTGGAAAAGAAACTCTGTTTCTTTGACTTGCATTATACTGAATTTTCTAACTCCCACCCCATTGCTCCTCATCTATCTGACTTTTCTCATTTCCCCTCTAATGATTTGTTTTCCCCAAGGAGATCTTCTGGCTTTCCTGCTTAGTTCTTTTCAAGTATTGCAGGCGTCCAGGTAAAAATGGTGGTTATAATAATGGGGAAGAGTCAACAGGTTAGGGAAGTATTTGAGAGGTAACGGCAGTAGGACTTGGAATGGAATAGATATAAAGGGGAAATAAATTTATAAAATTAAATTTCTAGTTGGGCAATTGTCAGGATGACATGCCATTTATTGACATATGGAACAAAACAAGAGGATTGGTACTGGCTGCATTGATTAGTGACCTTGACTTTGGATATCCAAATGCATATTTGCAATATCCAAATGCATATTTCCAACAGCTTAGCATATAGATGACCCTACAACTCAAAAGGGAAATCTGGACTCACAGAAAAATTAGAAATAATCAATATTTAGATGTGCAAAATATTCCCAAAAGTATATAGACTGAGTAGATGAAAAACCGAAGGTGGAGCTATAGAGAACACCCAGATTTAAAGAATCGCAAATCAAGTGATCCTCCAGAAGAGCTAGATACAGAATATCTGGTGAGGAGAAAAGTTGGAGATAGAGTTTCTAGAAATCAATGAGTCAAAAAGAATTTCAAGGAGGCAGAAGTTACAAAAGTGGGAGAATAAAAAGTAGGACAGATGGTTGAGAAATAAAATGTACAGAGAGAGAGACTGAGAGAACAAGAACAGATAGTTCTCTCATAAAGCTCATCTATAAGGAGAAGAAGAAAGTATGTTCATCAAAAGAATAAAGGGAAGGTCACTGGATCAATACCGTGTCTTTTGACAAAGGACAAGGAGTGAAAAGTGACTGCTGTATTTATTCATTGTTGTTTTAAGATTATAATTGGTGAACTTGGCAAGAGCATATTCATAACTGCAGTGGGGAGCAGAGTGGAAGGCTGAGAATCAGGAATCACAATTTTGATAAATTTGGAAAACAGTTAAGAGTTCCAAAATGAAAATAACAAACTGAAACAATAACATGAACCTCAAGGAGATGGGAGATTTTCACGGGGGCTATGAAAGAGTGCTACGGAGGAAAAAGGAGAATTCCAACCACTGTTTCCAACCTAGAAGTCCTTAGATGTAGTCAAGAAGGCCGAGCTTCCATAAAGGAGGTAGGGTTAGTGGAGAATTATGTACAAGTCCTTGTTCATTTGCCATCGAAACAGCAAACAAATGAAAGTATGGAGACACAGGGGGAGAACATTAAGAGATTGAGTTGAGAAGCTAAGAAAGCAATGTAGATAGGAGAAAGAAGGAATAGAGAGACATTTACATTCTGGGCTATCAGGGAGGATGGCCACATGAGTGTACAATGATGTAAATTTCTTTCTCTTGGTGAATGGGTAAAGTCCAGTTAGAGCAGCTGTTAGTGGGTTGGCCTATGGAGGTTGAGTCCTGTGAAGGTAGGGATGGGGAAATGCTAATACTTTTGGACTTGGATTTCCAGCACCTTCTGTGACCTGACATATCCTAACTGGAGAGAATAGTATGGTCTCTATTCCAACAAGCCTGCTGTAAAAGTCTAGATTAATTGAATTCCTAAAGAAATCCCAGATTAAAGGTGTAAAGGACCCTCCAGGAATTGGAAACAGAGGCATCCTCCAGAACATTGGTCTGTGGCCTAGCAAAGGATTATGGAGTTCAATCTTTTTGATGGAATATGCAAAAGCATGTCTATGCAAAATATTGAATTATTTTATTCTGGTCTATAAATATTGTATCTCACAAACACTTGGAAGCCCAGGTATTTGCAAAATGCATTGGATAATCAGAAATCTGCCTTGAATACATACACACCATCTACATTTAAGTGCCACTTAACCTGCATAAAAAAAGGCAATAACAAAGGATGACTAGAATCCTAGTGACTACTTCACATCAAACTTTTATCTATAGGTGCCGCATGGGAGAAATTATATGTAGCATACCTCTTTATTTAAGCAGAAAATGGAGTTCTATGACAGAAGCCCATTTTCTCAATTGAAAATAGAAACAAAGTTGTGACCAAATTATGAGATTAGAATTACTGAAATGATTTTCAAAAAGTCCTTAATAAATAGTCTTTCCATTTATTCTGCCAATAACAAGAGAGGAGTAAACATATTTACATCAGATTGGAGGATTGCTTACTGGTCATTAGGCTGTAGCATTAGTGCACAGAAAACTAGAGCTCCTAGAAGCCAGAATGAGGCCAGGAATCAAATTCCAGCTATACATGTTGCTAGAGATTGAATGTTTATGCACATCCCCCCCCATTCATATGACGAAATCCTAACTGCTAATATTAGTGATAATATTAGGAGGTGGGGGTCTTTAGGGGGTTATGAGGGTGAAGTCCTTATGAATGGGATTAGTACCCATATAAAAAGGCCCCTTCCACATTCTGAGGACACAGTGAGAGGAAGACTGTTTATGAGCCAGAAAGCAGACTCTCACTAGACACTAAATCTATCCAGTGTCTTGATCTCAGACTTCCTACCTTCCAAAACTGAGAACAAAACTTCTGTTGCTTATAAACTATCCAGTTTTTATGATGTTGTTATAACAGCCCAAACAGACTAAGACACATGTTAATGAATAATTCAAGGAAAAAAACATGTTGCGCCACACTGTTGAAAACTTGCGGATAGATAGCTCTTCAATTTATTCTTTAAGAAAATATGGCTTAGGGCCTCCTCAGTGGTGCAGCAGTTTGAGCGCAGCACTGCAAAGCTGTCTGCAACCTCTGCAGTGCAGGTTCGAGTCCCAGCTGGCCAGGGAGATACCCACATGGTGCGGCAGACCTCTCCTGTCTCACCCACTGCTTCCCTCATCAGTGCTTTCGGTCCGCCTGCCTGTTCTGGTCTCCACTCTGTCTCTGGTGAATCCTCTCACCTTCCCATGCCTCTGGCCTATACCCTAGCTATTGTATAAATAAAATCTTAAAAAAGAAAATATGGCCTAAAAAATCTTTAAGTCAAGCAAACTTTGTCTGCTCAGACTTCCCACTGCAAGGCAGAAGGCCAGTTTTGCTGGAACAATAATGAAGTCCACAGGGGACCAGGCGCCCTTTTCCTAAGAGTGGGAGCTGTGACAGAAGAAAAGCACTTGAACGAACTCCTTAACATATGCAATCAAAAGTCACAAAAGAGATACTGTCTAGCACTGACTGTCATGAATAATGTTATTTGCAAGCTGCTTCTTTGGTGAAATAACTAATCATAAATTTATCACTCTCCAACTGGTTCTACCTTCTCCATCCCTGGCCAGGAGACAAGGAAGTAGACACTGCCCTCATCACCACAGCTCAGTCCTGGGAGTTCGGTCACAATCACACATGTTTAATGCTCAGGAACTCAGGAGAAGCAAGCTGGCCCATCACCTGAGCTACCTTCCCACTACCCACCTGATTTCTGGCCAAAGCTAACCTTAACTAGTTATTACATTTCCCTTCTTAGATTCAGAATTTTTAATTATGTCACCATACACTTACCTCTCTTACGAGTCACTGAATATTTTAGGGCCAAATAAGCTCTGAGACTGTGTCTTTAGCAGTAGAGCCAGTCAGCTATTTTGCCCTCTTACCTGGCTTCTGGAAGTGTCAAAGTACTGCCTGGTGAAAGCCAAAATATCTTCTGTCTCATTCTGTGAAAGGAAATAGGAGTCTTCATCCTGCCTGAGATTGAGGAGACTGTGTAGGTAAAATTTATACTCTTTATTACTCATGTTGAGTTTTAAAGAACAGATCTGTTCCTGATGAATAATGTAATAGAGCAGGAGGAGAGAAACTCTCTGGACCACTTCCTCTCTGAGCTGTTCTTCAGAATCTCCTCCAGCGATTAGTAACAGAGCATCTGGTTCAAAGCACTGTGGGAAGAAAAAAAAAAAACAAAAAACAAAAAACAAAGCTAGCAAATACAATCGACCCTTGAACAACGTGGGTTTAACTGTGTGGGTCAACTTACCCCTGAATTTTCTTGTAATCAGGCCATGTAAATTAAGTGTGTCGATAAAAACAGTACAGTGCTGTAAATGCATTTTCTCTTCCTTATCATTCTCTTAACATTTTCCTTTGCTTCCTTTAAGTATACAGTCTATAATACTTGTAACATACTGTATTATTGGTAAGGCTTTCTGTCAACAACAGGTATTAGTAGTTAAGTTTGGGGGGAATCAAAATTTATAGGCAGATTTTTGACTGTGTAGAAGAAGGGGTTGATGCCCCTAACCCCTGAGTCGTCCAAGGGTCAGCTGTAGTTCTAGAACACTAGTGATCAAAGGCTCTCCATTGCTTTTTATTGATCCCTTCCTATGAATCCCTTTCTATGGATAGGAAAGGCTTCCTATGAGAGCGGCTAAATAGCCAGATTCAATTAAGAGAGGCATGACTAGACATTTTAGTAACAATGATGTCCTCCAAAGGGGCCCTTGTCCCTTGGAGTGCTTCTCTCTTCAAATACAACACCATAAGTTATCTATCGGCTGCCTCGGAGATACATTCCCCAAACACTCAGTCCAAAATAGAAAGCCCCCACCCACCCCATGTCCTCCAGCACAGGACTGCTCCAAGAAACACACAAGTCACTAATCTGAGCCACACATTGAGAACAACTTAAATGTTCTTGTGGCCATATTTTAAAAAGTAAGAACAGGTGAAATTAATTATTAATAATATATTTTATTGAAACCTATACGCAAAACCAATCATTTCAATATGTAGGCAAAATTCAAAAAAATTAATGAACTACTTAACCATATTTTTTGTTGTGCTAAGTCTTCAAAATCTGGTGTGTATTTTACACTTACGTGCATATCACAACCCAGACGAGTCATACTTAAGTGCTCACACAGTTGGTGGCAGCTCTAGCACATAAAGTCTTTATTTTCTTCATGGCACTAAACAAGTGGCCCATTAAAGAGGAGTTTCATCTGCTTTGTGCACAGTTCTATACTCAGCGTCTAGCACAATGCCTGGCACTTATGAGGTCTGAAAATGAAATGAATGAACACCATCTGCTTCTCTTTTATCATTCCTAAGAAAATTACTAAAAATATTTCCACAGTGCTTTATTTGTTTCACAAATCAGTCAGACACCTAGCTACTCTAATCTGAGAAGTTCATGTAGTAGAAGGCGTTTGGGATATTGTGAAGGCACAGTAAGAAAATCATAGACACAGGGGGTAGTGGAAGGGAAGCGTTCCCAAGAAGACAGAAGCTGTCTTTCTTCACAGACAGTTGGGAAGCCTCTGAGAATCCTCCTGGGACTTCAGAAGCAGTCCAGCCTCAGAGTGAAAGTATCAATTAATGCCTGTTCTGCACTTGATCTTAGCCAAAAGGCCGAGAAGCATAGGGGGTGTCTGTCCTGAATCCCAGAAGGAAGGTCCTGCTGTGAGACAATTTATAATATCATTGATCTATTTTCTTCTGCAGTGGAAATTTCAGAGGTTCTAAATGCATGTATTCTGTGTGGACCCCTGGGTGACTTCTAGTACATACCATCCAAATCAAGAAAAAACATGTCATCCATCTCTACAGCAACACATTAATCACATTCTTCATAAGCCACACAAATTCCAGTCTCTTGCCAACCAAACTGCAAGGGTAAAAGAACTCAGTAACAGGGAACACGACTCCCCACCAAGATCAAAACTAAGATGAAGACCTAACTCCCTGACCCCATTGAGAGCTGTTGATAGGACTCATACCTAGACCCAAGGAGGTAAATCAATGGAAACAAAGTGTAAATAACATTCTTTGTGCCAAATAACCTCCCTGAAACCAAACTGTTGGTGATATTGGAAGCCAGAAGTCCAGGACACCTGATCTATTCAGGTATAACTTGGTGTATAAATCTAACTGGTGCTGGAAAAGCCTGGATCATGAGTTTTTCAATAGTGTGAACACATTGCATTTTTTTAAATGGAAAAACAATATGTCTCCAGCCTATAGAAAAATCCCACAAAAATAAAATGCTTAGCATATCTGCTTAATACAAAATATGTAGAGTACCAATTACCCAATTATATAATGTTTAGTGAATAAAGTAATAGGTACATTTGTGTACAGTATACAAGAATGTTGCAGAGAATCAATCATGTTTCCTTCTTTGAGCATGGTGTATCCAAAGTATATGCAAAAGTTGAGTTTAAATGAAAATAGCTTACGTATCTAAAGTTACACAGCCAACAGTAGTAACTGCTCAGCCTTAATTCCTGCTCTGCCAATGATAGACCTTATTCTTTTATGCCTTTGTTTTATGACACTGAGCACAACAGCTATGAACACATCTATGGATTTGATGTGCAGTCCCTTCACCCTGTAATTTATTTCCCTTTTGTTTGATAGGAAGAGAGATGGATTAAGAGGCTAGGAGATTGTAAGTTACAGTTAAAGGGTTAAATGAGTTCTTTTTTTAAAGATTTGTTTTATTTATGCATACAAGAACTGGGGTATAGCAAGAGGATAGAGTGGGGAGCATAATAGGGAGACTAATTGAAACATACTGCTGAGGGAGCAGTGGGCAAGACTGGAGAGGTCTGCAGTGTCATGTGGGTTGCTCGCAGGCCGGCCAGGGATTGAACTCATTCTGCAGAGGCTGCAGCCAGCTTCACAGTGCTGTGCTTAACCCCTTGCACCACCAGGGAGGCCCCCAGAAGGCTTAAAAGAGTTCTTAATGATAAACTTTCAAATTGTTTATTTGAGTATAGAGGGGCTACTGATTTTTGTGTGTTGATTTTGCATCCTGTTACTTTACTATACACAAACAATCAATCTGAAGAAGAAGAAATCAAGAAAACCATCCTTTTATAACTGAAACAAAAAAAAAATCAAATACTTGGGAATAAACCTAACAAAAGAGGTGAACTATACAAAGAAAATTATAAAACACTGTTAAAAGAAATAGAAGAAGACACAAAGAAATGGAAAGACATCCCCTGCTCATGGATTGGAAGAATTAACATTATTAAAATGGCCATCCTACAAAAAGCAATATACAGATTCAACGCTATTCCAATAAAAATCTCAATGACATTCTTCAAAGAAATAGAACAAATACTGATGAAATTCATATGGAACCACAAAAAAACCATGAATAGCCAAAAAGCCCTATGATGAAAACAAAAGAGAAAGGAGGTATCACACTTCCAAACTTCAAGCTATACTATAAAGCCATAATAATTAAAACAGTTTGGTATTGGAACAAAAACAGACATACAGACCAATGGAACCAAATAGAGAGCCCAGAAATAAAGCCACATTTATATGGACAACTAATCTTTGACAAAGGAGCAAAGAATATACAATGGAACATGGACAGTTTGTTCAATAAATGGTGCTGGGAAAACTGGATGACCCCATGCAAAAAAATGAAACTAGACCACTACCTCTCACCATGCACAAAAATCAACTCAAAATGGATAAAAGACCTGGACATAAGATCTGAAACCATAAAATATATAGAAGAAAATACAGGTAAAACTCTACAAGACATACATCTCAGTAACATTTTTAAAGACTCATCACCCAAAATAAAGAAAGTCAAGGAAAAGATAAACACGTTGGATTATGTCAAACTGAAAAGCTTCTGTACAGCAAAAGAGACATTAACCAAAACAGAGAGACACCCCACTGATTGGGAAAAAATTTTTTCACTCCATACAACTGATAAGGGAATGATCACAAAAAATACAAAGAACTCACATGACTCAACAAAAACAAAGTAAACAATCCAGTCAAGAAATGGGCAGAAGAACTTAAAAGACATTTCTCCAAAGAGGAAATGCAAATGCCAACAGGCATATATGCCTGTTGAAAAAATGTTCAATGTCACTTACTATCAGGGAAATGCAAATCAAAACCACATTAAGATACCACCTTACAATGGTGAGAATGGCACATATTAAAAAAACAAGCAACAAATGTTGGCAAGGATGTGGTGAAAAAGGAACACTCCTACACTGCTGGTGGGAGTGCAAACTGGTCCAACCACTATGGAAAGCTGTCTGGAGGTTCCTCAGTCCACTAAAAATGGAGCTGCCATATGACCCAACAATTCCACCCCTACAGAGCTACCCAAAGGACACAAAAACATTGATTCAAAAGAACACCTGTACCCCTATGTTTATTGCAGCACTATTTACAATAGGCAAAACCTGGAAACAACCCAGATGCCCCAAAATTGATGAGTGGATCAAGAAGATGTGGCATATATACACAATAGAATATTATTCAGCAATCAAAAAGTATAAACTCATGCCATTCGCAGCAATGTGGATGGAGCTAGAAGGAATTATGCTCAGTGAAACAGGCCAGAAGGAAGGGCCTCCCTGGTGGCGCAAGGGGTTAAGATGCAGCACTATGAAGCTATCAGCAGCCACTGTAGCATAAGTTCGATCCCCGGCCAGGGAGGTGACCCACATGGTGCAGCAGACCTCTCCTGTCTCACCTGCTGCTCCCCTCAGCAGTGTATTTCAGTCAGTCTGCCTATTCTGCTCCCCACTCTGTCTCTGGTGAATCCTCTCACCTCCTTGCACCTCTGGCCTATACCCCAGTTTTTGTATACATAAATAAAATAAATTTTAAAAAAAGAAATAATCAGAAGGACAAAGAAAAATATCAGATGGTTTCACTTACAGCAGGAATATAGGGGAACCAAATAAGATGTCAGTATAAAAAAACTAATAATAGTACAAAGCACAACAAAGCAAAAACAGATAATTATAAAGCAGACATCCTGCAGGGGAGGAGGAGGGAGAGGGATCAGAGGGAGGGAGGGAGGAACACAAGGGACTGAGGTGATGGTGCACGGGTGCATTGGTGAAGGAATTTCCATGGGGACTACACCTGAGGGGGTGAGGGAAGCAAATATTGTTTAAAAATGAACAATGATGTAAAAAAAATTTTTAAAAATTAAAAAAAGATACACTTTCAAGTGCTATTCAGGTTGTTTGCTGGGCTCAGGTAGGTAGGAAGAAATGGATCGATGACGCAAAAAGCACACATGGTCTGGACATGGTTTGACAACATGAAGTAATGTTTGGGACATTTCATCCCATCCAAGGTGTAGGGGCTTCTCCTTGATGTTTATGCTGCATAGATTTCTAGGGTTGCAATAGGACAGGCATGGAACAACAGACAGTGGGTAACATCTGCCATCATGTAGATGTGCGTTCCAGAACTGGATTGTAAAAAGTATGTAAGTGGAAGGTAAGTTGGTTTCTGATTTGAAAAATCTTCAATAGTTGTGGAAGCATTGTATTTGTCTGACTACAAATTTCAGTTATGCTGAATGAACAAACATTGCCTAATCTTTGCTTTAACTTTTTGAGGTGTGTTTTAAAAAAAGCTTAGTTGTGAGTTGAATGACTGGGCAGAAAACATGGTGCCCTTTTACAACATTTGAATCTTAGTCAGCTTACCTGGATACAAAGAATGCTGTAGAAGAGCTAACAAACATAGACATGACAAAAAAACACTGTGAGGATGGGTAGGGCACTGGAATTTTCAGTTCATCACCACAGATTTGCTTTAGGTGTTAAAAGTTAGGTGTTTGAGGTGCTAAAGCAGTGGTTCAGCTGTGTTTGGGAGAGGATGTTTAATAAAATTTTGTAAGTACTGCTACACCACAGGCACTAAGATCTGTGCAAGGTGCTGACTCTAGTGAAATGATTCTTTGTTAAGGAAGAATGGACTGATTCAGGAATAATCCATTGGTTTTACTTTTAATCTTGTCAGGTGGAGGCATAAGGTTTAAGAGGGGAAAATGCAGATTCTGGAATGGTTTTAAAGACTGTAATAAAATAAACTTTGAGAAAAGACTAGTTAAAGTGCAAGCAGCCCCCCTTATAATTAAATGAACTATCCAGATAGTTGGTAATCATGTGTGGTTGTCCCCCACAGATATAGCAGGTTAACTTCTCCAATTGTTTCATTTAATTTTGTTTATTGCTTATGCCAGTATAGACTCTGGGCAACAAAAAGCAATAGGAAATCTTTCTTCATTTACAGTAATAAGGCATTATCAAATCTGTAGGATAAAATTTAGGGGTTTTACACACAAAATTATTTAGAATTTGATTGGAGTTATGGGTAAATCCAATCTTTCAAATTCTTAAATCTGAAAATTCTTTAATCTGTGGCAAGAAGGGAACTAACAGTTGACTGTAAAATACAAGAGGGAAATTGCACTTCTTTTTCTTGTGAAGCAAAAACTGGGAGGATGTCAATTGAAAGTAGGCACTGGCTTTTGAGGGTCTTTACCAGATTTAATGACATTTCTGAGTGACCCAGAGCAAAGTCTTAGCTGAGAAGAATTAAGATAAACTTGCTAGATAAGTAAGCTAAGATAAAACTTGACACTATCATATGAGAGATCTGACAATGGGGGGAGGGGGAACATTAAAACAGTGGTTTTCGTCCATATAGTCCCAACAGAATCGCCTGGAGAGCTTGGTTAAAGCCGCGAGGACCTGGGGCAGTTTTGGGAAGGACTGAGAGGTGGCAGGAGGCGGATGCTGAAGAGCATCTTCTTTCTGGGCAGCATGGAGGCACCTCACAAGCACTGCTCCAGTGTCCCTGATAAAGGAGCGATCCCAGCATGGCTGTAAGGTAGAGGGACTGTCAGGGGACAGAGACTGCTTAAGGGGATGGGGTGAACTTGAGCTCCCATGTCCAAGCTCATTCATACATAGCCCTGTGGTCCTCACTGTCTTTCAGGTGAGGAAGCCTAGGTTAGAGCGCCCTGACAGCTAACAGGTGCCAGGTAAGCGTTGGCTGACGCTACTCAGCAGGTTCTTTTCCCTTCAACACACCGGACCTCTTGTAGGGTTTTAGTTTTCACCATTACTGAAATGGAATTTATTCTTTTTGAGTTATAGCATCCCTCCATTGTAACCCTTCTCATTAAAAATAGGAAGAAGACACCATAGAGCAAGACTACCCATTACCGAGACCTCAGCTTAAATGGATTTATTTGTAAATGCACAGTGCTCTCAAATATGTCAGGCTGATTTAAGAAAATGAATTCAGATTTTACCTAAATCTAATGTAAAATTGGGAACTTTTTTACTCCCCATTAATTCAAGATCTATACTTTCTTCTTTTTGTCAGACATTTAAGGATACAGACTCAAACACCTTTTTTAACCACAGAATTTCTAATATGAATCTTAAGCTGAAGCCCTGAGGTCTGCACCAAAACACAGGTACTTGGGAAATCGATAGGACACTGTTTCTCCCTGGAGTTTGATGAATAACATGGAGAGACTATGTAGGCTCCCTGCTTATGGGCCATGTGGGTGATTGCAGCTTTCTGAGCGACTCCGACAAAGAGCCAGCAGCAGCAGCATGGAGGCAAAACTAAAAGACAGCTTCTATGCCTAGGAAGGCAACTAGTGCAAACGGAAGCAAAACCAGTCAACCTCTTGATAATGTCACAGAAAATGTTGCACCAAAAGTGCAAAACAACCTCTCTCCCCTCTAAAAAATTGGAGAACAATTTTGCATGTTTATATTTCCCCTGCTAAACTAATTTTCAGCCAGCCTTAATAAGGCATTTCGTGTCATTAGAGGAGAACATTTCCCTGAAGCAAATTCTCAGAGGACATTAATGTGATATGACTCCCACTTATTTCCAGTGGGAAGTCTTATGCTGCTCTATATATAAATTAATGTCATCACAGATGAGTCGCCCACTATAACACATGTTTTCTCTGGGAACCCTTGGGAATTTTACTAATTGTTGAATTATTTATTGTTTGCACAGAGCAGAGAAAAATTCTCTCCATTAGCAAGACCCTTCTGTCATGAAAAAAAACAAAGCACTGGGCCAAGAAATGTTTCCTCTATAACTAAGCATAATTGAGAAAAATCTGTCAAAATTTATGGGGGGCTCAGGGAGAGTTGTTTATTCCTTCTTTACTTCTTTCCTTCTTCCTCTCCACCTTTCTCTCGCTCCCTCTTTCCTTTCCTCCTTCCATCGTCATTAGTGGGTTCATTCTGATAAAACTCGCCAGCCAGAAAAGGGAGGTTGAAGAGTGTTTTGTCTGTGGTCATTTTAAGGCTTGGGTTCTCACCTCTTGTGCTGCTCCTGTCCATCCCCCCAGCATTAGAATTTTACATTAAATGCTGATTTTATATTACTACTGATTTTACACTAAAGTGACCTGTAAATATTATTAAAAATTCCATCCTTGGCAAGTTAAATCTCAATCCCTGGAGCAGGAAATCCCAACATGGGTATTTTGCAAAACCTACCCTGGTATTGAGGATGTGAGTCAAGGTTGAGAGTCACTCTGTGGACTAGGAAAAGGCTGCCAGAGGGGCCACAAGAGCCACAGGTCTCATTTCAGTCCCAGCTCAGAATCCCCTCCCCAGCTCAGAATCCCCCCCCCAGCTCAGAACCCCCCCCCTTTTAAGAAAATTATCCAACTTATTATCTACCCACCATGTCAAATGTTAAACAACAACAACCAAACAATCAATCTCCAGGAGAAAGCACTTAAATATCAGGTCACTCTCATGTTGCTATAAAAAACAAATAGTATCTATCTAACCAAGCATGTGCAAGTTCATTGCAAGCTCAGAGAAAGAATTAAGGAAGGAAGAAGAGACAACTAAAAGTTCGCACTTACAAATAAGTATCTCTAAGCTTGCAGAAGCTTTGTAGAAAGGCTTATATAAACATTACCATTTTGGTTAAAAAAAAAAAAAACACAAAGTCTGCCTATTTTTCAATACTGAATAACTTACTGCCTCCAAATATGAAAGTTACCATACCACAACGCACTGCCCACTTGTGTGTTGGAAGATTTATATTTGACTTTGCTTTATCAAAGTAAATGACAAGAGAACACATTACTCCTTTTTGAACACGGCACCCGATCTCACTGCCTTTACTAACCAGATTGCAGTCTGCTTGTGTTCGGCTTATCCTCCGTGGGCATCCAGTTTTCTCCAACAATGTTTTGATGAGGCTTCTTGAGTGGTTCAGCAGTGCATGATCACCAGCAGAGAGGACTCTTAGCACTTCTGTCAGTTGACCTGGACTCCAAGTGCCACTGCTGCTCAGGGCCAAGGGCTTTTCTGTCCCAGTAGAAGAAACAAGGCTGAGCAGAAGAAACAACGGCCCCCAGATAACAGAAAGCTTGGTCTGCAAGCACATTTCCACTTGTCATTTACCTAGAGTCTGTATTTGATGGAGATGGTGAGTTGGTGTGCACGGTATAAAGTTGTCACCAGAGGAATTTCTGTGATAATGAGGAAAAATAAAGGCTTTAATTATCAGGACTGCAATGTGTTTGAAAGAATTCATTAATTGGGTGGCTAAGCTGATTTGCAATGACAAGCTGTTTCTAAACAACAGGGGTCTGTAGGTCATTTATAACCCCAATGGGAAGGAAACTAACTTCAGTGGAGACTTTCAAACTGTAGAACAGCAATGAAGTTTGTTACATTAGCTCTCTCTGAATGAAGCATAGAGTCAAAAATTAGGACAACTATGTTGATCCTGCAGGTGGTACCTAGAACCTGGGATAGGAAATACCAACTGCATCCCACTGTAAATAAACTTCCCTGGGTATGATGTCATCATCAGAGAAGTAGAGAAAATAAATTTTAATGTATTACCTATATCAAGTTGAGTTCGAAAGCTTTAGACAAGGAAGGATTCTAACAGGTTATAATACCGTACAGAAAACACATCTTTTTTTGGTTAATTTTTAGTTTATTAAAAGTATAAACTATATTAGAAAAGTAAGAGTTTCAAGACCTCAGGAGCTATGACAAAACTACCCAACCAGTGGTCACTAAAGGAGTGAGGGCATAAATCTATATCCAATCAACTTTTTTGGGGAAAAATGAATCTCTTCAACAATTGCTTAAGGCATGCAAAATGTTAATAGCCTCTCTCCTGTGAGAGCTTGACCCAGAGATTAGCTAGCTGTGACAGTGGGGTAGTAAAAAAGATACTGGGATTACTTTTATGGTTAAAAAAATAGTTGAAGATTCTTATGTTAGCATTTTTTAAATGACAGAGGGTAATACAAACATTTTAAAACCCAGTGCTTACCTTCGGAAGAAAGATAAATGATTATTTATCTGGAGTGCTGTGGCCTTTTAAATCTCAGAGAGTACTTCATGGTTACAATAGCCTCTGTTTTTAAAATTCCTGGACTGTGCACTGGGAGCTGGAAGGGATTATTTCAACCCAGAGAAGTTTTCAGTTGCTATGGAGAGACCTGCTCTGCAAGTAACAGTCAAGGTGGATAAAAGGGAGAACTTTCTATTTGGCAGATTTTCAGGAAAATCAAATAAATGTGGCTAATGAACCTGACTTTTTATAACCATATTTACCATCTAGTCACTTGCCTTTAAAGGGCAGATCTAGGTCAAAGAATTTCATCTTTGCAGAATGGAAAGCCTCTATTGTTAGATCAAGATGTTTTCCTTTCCAGTTCATTCTGTGATGACTGTTTTATCCACACTCAAACCCAGGATTTGTTGAATAGAGAGGCTCATTAGAACGTCATTTATTTTCCAAGGCACAAGATTTAAGGGGTTTGTAAATAGATGTTTTCAAATAAGAAGAAATATATTTGAGGACTAAAGCTCTTACCTGGAAAGTAAGTGGATGCCAGTGGGGAACTTTAATGCTAGGGATACCGATGGAGGACAAGAATAGAAAAAAAACTAAAAAGGAGGCACGGCAAGACCAGAAACCTGGTTCACACAAGGAGATGGGGGCAGAAGAGATTAGCATAACCATCAACACAGTTGTGGTATCACAAGGCACTGGAAGCCTAGATTACAAAGCATAACATCCAAGCAGGTATCAGACTGCTGTCAAGAGCTCAGGCCCAAGGTTAAAGATACGGAGATTGAGCCCAACAGACCCCAAAGGTAAAGATATGGAGATTGAGCCCCTTTTAGAATCTCTGGTCCCTTTCAAATTCTACATAGTTATCCAAAATTAGCAACCAATTGATGGCTCACAAGGAGTGACCCCTCCCAAACAGAAGACTATCAGTGCAGCCTCTGCACTGGCTCAGGGCAGCACTCCCACTGCCCACTTGTGACAAAGCAGGTGCCTCTTTTCACCAACTCTCTCCCTCTGCAGGGCACCAGCTTTCCTGCCTGCCCGTGCCCTGTCAAGGCTGCCCACCTGCATTGCAGGCCTCCCTTAGCAAACCTGTCCCTTCTGGGGCAGGTCTTCATGCCCACTTGTGCCTAAGCAAGTGTCTTTAATCATTTTATCCCTTCCCTAATAAACCTGTCCTTCCAATATAACTACCGGGCCTCCCCTGGTGGCGCAGGCAGTTGAGAGCAGCACTGTGAAACTGTCCGCAGCCTCTGCAGCGATCCCAGCCAGCCGGTGAGTGTCCCACATGGTGCGGCAGACCTCTCCTGTCTTGCCTGCTGCTCCCCTCAGCAGTGTATTTCATCAGTCTGCCTGTTCTGTTCCCCACTCTGTCTCTGGTGAATCCTCTCGCCCTCCTGCACATCTGGCCTGTACTCCGGTTCTTGTATAGTTAAATAAATAAATCTTTAAAAATAAATAAATATAACTACCGTCTCTGTCTCTCAGAGAAACTCACCTGGGGAACTCGCTGCGTGTCACTGAAACGGGAGCTCTGGTGAAAGCTTTCCTAGAGTGAACCCAAGGACCCCTCACTCCAAACCCACTGACTACAAAAACAACAACATATGGTGCCCAACATGGGGTTTTTCACAATACCAGTGGGAACTGGGATCATATATTCTGGCCCCAGTGTCTGTGGTTGAAGTGATTAAGTAAGACCTGAAATTTAGGGCCTGCAAACAGGCACTCAAGAAATTATTTGTGAATGAATGATTGCAAAAGCAAGGTTGATGAGTTGTATAAGAGAAGCTAAAATCCAAGAAATTGAAGTGGAGAGAGTACATGTAAACAACACGCAGTGCAGGGAAACACAAAGTGAGTCTGAATCACATAGACTGGACAGACTTCTGAGTTCCCATATAAGCAGTAGATAGGGGCAAGTGAGGCTCCTGATAGGGAGACGAAGGGAAGGAGAAGAAAAGAAATAGGAATAATTGGCTTGAAAATAAGGAACAAGGGGATAGGAGGGTCCTCAGAAAATGTGGGTAACATGGACAGAAATATGGAAGCCTAATGAACCCAGAAAACACCCTATATCTCTTTAATCATGCATCTTAGAGTACCTGGATTTAGCTAAACTGCAAAGGGCAAGGACTAGGCCTGTTTCTTTTGAACACTATAATGAGAGTAACTGAAGTTAAAGTCCAGATAATTCAGTCCAAGAGAAGAGGAAGGTGCCCAGCTGCAGACCCAGCAGAGGCAGAGAATCAAGGAGGATTCAGACCAGAGGGACTAAGCAGCCTGCAGGTGCCAGCTCTTTGCCTGCTGCCAGCCCCAAGGTGAGAGCACCTGAGCACCATTTGCAGGCTCAGAGCCCGATCCCAGCCTCTGGGACTTGGTGAGGAGGTTACTAAGGAAAAGTAATCCAAAACCTATTTGAGAAAATTATCTGGCCTTACAGTCACCTGAAGTTTTTAAATACTTTTAAGAACTTTGCTTCATTCTGCTATTAAGCCCTTTCTTCCTGGCAAAGGTACAATTAGATGGTCCTGAAATCTACCCTCCCTGCCCCAACAATCCCCTTACAACTTGCCTTGTTGCTGTAGCGCTGGATCAGGATTTGTTCTGAACCTGTGCTTCCCCTGGGCCTTAGGGAGACCTTTTCTCCCAGACTTCCTCATAGAGCCCCAGGCTCTCCCCTAGAGGAATTCTCAACCACTAATCACTAGTCTTGTTATAGGGCAGCCCAGATATTGAGCGGGTTGCCTGGCTGTGGGTCCTCACCCGCGCGCTTAAAAGGGACTTATTAACACTCCACTACAGGCACATACAAAAGGTTAATAAAAGGTTTATTTACAAGGGAAAGGGAAATGAGGAAATGTACAACTCAGGGAGAAAATAGGGAAATAAAGTCTTTAATGCATCCTACCCGATCCGATGACCTGGAAACCCAAAAAGCACTCTCCGAGCTGGCCAGACACTGCGAGCTGGCGGAGAGCGAAAAATGGGGGATCCCCCCAAAGCCCACGTGTCTGGCTTTATACCAACCTGGCTGCTTAACCCCACCCTCAGGTCCCAGCTACCTTCCCTTTGGTGGGGATGGGATTTGGAGTTCCCACTGTCTTTGACTTTGGCCTGGGGTGGGGGTGGAGTCCACAAAGCCTGCATGGAATTAGCTTTAGGACATCCTTTTCCCCCTAACAATTCCCCCCTTTCACTGTTTGTCACCATTTCCATGGTGATGAAGATCGAATATATGGATGTGGGGATGCAGTCTCAGATGAACATTTTTTTACCAGGTTTCAGTGTGAAAGAAAACCAGTCCCTAACAGTCTCAGCTGCTCCCAAGGCCACCACTAATCTAGCCATAATGAGTGAACTTCCTATTGTCAAACCTGTTCCCTTTACCCCAAGGCTTGCTCCCCAGCGCAAGCACAGCTACAAACCAGCCACCAGACAGCTATTGCTGTCCCGTGGTGACTGAGGGATGGGGAGGGGCGGGAAGGGGTGAAGAGGGGCAGGGAGGAGCCCTGGGTGTGGCTCTAAGTCGGCTGGAGCAGTGGTAGGCTGGCAGGCAGATCATGGAAGGAGAGAGGAGCAAAAAAGGAAAACCCCTGGTGAATCAGCAGTGTGTCTCCTTCTTTGCCTGACTCTGAATAGTACCTTCGACTTTTTGTCCTAGCCTGTCTGCTTTCCTGACTGTAAGGGGCAGGAATGGCCAGAGCAGGTGTAGGGTCAGGACAGACACAGTGCAGGTTTTCTATGAGCCAGTAGACCAGGTAAAGGAGGAGTCAGTGGTTTTTTGCAGGCTTTTATTGGGGTTTACCAGGTACACAGTACAGGCAGGGGTACTGGGGGGCTAGGAGGCTGGCAGGCCTCCCAGCCCCCAACAAGTCTTCACTCTATCTGGGCCTCGCTCTCACGCTCAACACCGCCCTTAAAAGCCCAGTATCAGCCCAGGTGAATCCCATCTACCTATGCCCACACCCTACTCCAGGTGCCCGCCATCAGGCATGCATTCAGGACCGCAGGGATCCATCATCTATACTGATGGCGGGAGGGCAGAAAAGCCTGACATTTTTCCT